TTTTGCTGATTTTTACACCCTCTCAGTTTTTTGCCGTTTTCTCCATGAAGATTTTCTCGAATCGAAAAAGTAAGTAGATATTCGTGATCAACTTGAAACACCGAATCTATTGATATATATTTAAGCAAAAAATAAGAAGTGCTGTAATTTTGAATTACGCGCACCTTACCTATATATAGTAATACTAGGTTCCTTGTTAGTTGGTTTGAAACAGTATGCTCCACAATATCACATTCTTTCAGTAGAGTGTCGGCGACGTTTCCGCCGCGTTACTTGTTATAAATTTTATTTGATTTTATTTAAAATTTTATTTATAACAAAGAATTTGATTTTTCTATTTTAGTTTTAAATTTATAGGTTTAATTATTTGAATTTATTTATTTATTTGAAACTTCAATAGAGTAAGCCATCTAATGAGATCCTTAAGCAAGATCGAAACCGGTCATGGCAGCTTCTTCACACCCACACCAACGCCCTAGTAAAAGATTCTAAAGATATCTGATGATGATCGAATTAAGCCTCGATTGAAACGCGTCGTATTCTACCTTGAATCTATATATTTTGAGTGTTTAACACACCCACACCCACACCCTGAAGATGACTGTCTAAGCAACAGTCGAAACGCGTCGTATGCTGCTCTGGACCTTATTGTTGAGTGATTAACACACCCACCCCACACCGTACGGCATTTTAATTTCTAAACACACACCCTCGTGAATAGAAAATGCTTTGATTGAATTTTGTTCAAAAATTTTCAGTTTTAAAGAATACACATGGACTTCTATAATTGTTTACGATTATAGTTAAGTTAATTCTATTTGGAAAATTTTAAATGTGCAAATGTACTCTATTAATTATTGTATTGAAAAGCAATTCGAATGTTTCTATCCGAATAATTTAAGAATTGCTATCTAAGTAGATACAATATTAAGAACGCCACCTGATGAAGTCAATCCAAGACAGAAACAACCGTTGTCGTGGTACGGCATTCTAATTTCTAAACACTCACCCACACCCTTTTATAATTCATATTGAAAATTATGTCGAAATAATTAAAATTGAAATAGTTAATAAAAAGATACACATTATTAAATATTAAAAATTCAAATTCAAATATAATATATTTTGACTATAAACCAAACGATTCGACTACAATCCATACATCTATATATTAAAAATGAATAATATTAAATACAAATATAAATAAATTGTAACCTCAAATTAACTGTCAAATCTCGAAAAAGACTTTAAAAAGAGAACATTAAATACATATTAAAATATGAATTGATTCTTGACTATTCTATGTATACTTTTTGTGAATACTTTTGTTTTTTGTTTTCATACTTTTATTTAATCATATTATTGTTTACTCCATTTCTTTCGTGATATATTTAGCCTCATATTTGATCTCTTATTTAACCAATTTTATTTTACTCATTGATTTTACTTTATTTGCCATTGTTTTTGTTTTTTTATTATGTTTTAAATGCAAAACCCTGAAGAGTGTTTCGAATTTTTAAATAAATAACATGAAACGCGTCGGCAAAAATTAATTTACTTCTGCATTTGCTTAGTAAATTAGTAAATTTTGAATTAAAGCTAATGTACATAATATTAAGTTATTGAACTTAAAGCTTTCGACTAACTATCGATTGCTGAAGAAGCAAGAGTTGAGACTAGCAGATTAATTTGTGTTTTCGTCAAAGCATAATTTAATCTGTTTTTCAATTGCTTGACTGAATTATCAGTCTTTATTTTACTCAAAAATGGGACAGTATACGACTTTTGAAAAATACGAAGGATTCGGTTTCTTTCTCCAACGTTCACCTAATTGTAATTAATTAACGCTGGTAGATTCTAAAATGAAACAAAATTTCAACATTTTATACACATTGATGAGTTACATATATCCGTACGTTACTTAGTCATCAGTATTAGTTGTATGTAAATTTGCCTCAAATGTAAGGATCATGACGATCACAGCAATAGTTGCAACAATAAATAGCATTATTAGCGTTATAAGGAATTGCACCACTGTCATCGCGAGCATTTCTGCCGAACTCAGTACAATTATTATAGTTAAACATATAAACATGAAGCGGAGTAACAGTATTATAGACAGCATTAAATGTAACATTAAACGGATTACCAGGACAATTACAACCACGATAAGTAAAACCAAGACTAAGAGCAGCATACCTGGTATCATAAAATGTACCAGTATTACATTGAGCATTAGTACCATTACTACAGCCACGGATCAGACAGTGACCAGTATGATTCGGGCGACGACAGGAGCAACCATCTGATTGTCCAGTTCTAGGATTTATTGTTAAAAATAATATTACAATCATAGTGACTTTAGCTGCAGTCATTCCTAATCGTTAGTGAGTGAGAAAAAATTCCGACAAGTGACGACGAAAGAAGGTCTTTTTTAATGATATTCGAGTCTTAAATGGTTTACTTAAAACATGTAAAAGGAAAGAACAAAACGGGTTCTACTCGCTTATGTATATGTTTTATCTTTATGATATTTTATATGATAACCAGAAGCACAGATAATATTGCACACCTGTGCAAACATGTGTTGAATCCAAATATAAAAATTACAGGGTGAAGAGCAGAGTGAATGCCATTATGCTAATGGTTTCAACAAATGCTCATTTTATCTTTGTATTAGACAATTTCTGATATAAAACTAATGATACTTAGTAGGAGATCACTAAAAAAAGCGCAAAAAATAAACGATTTAAGAACTTATCAAAATTCAACGTATAAGAAACCATTGCAAGCTTTTATTGAGGGTGGGTGAGGTTGAGACAAATAGCCACGATGAATTCTTATTTAAAAATAAAATTTATTTCGATTCTATTTTGAAGTTCATTTGAATTTGATTTAAAGATATCAATGATCGTTTTTCACAATAAAAAAAGATTGTTGAATAAAATAAGGAATATTAAAAGAAAGGTTGTATAAAAAAAGATTCTTTTTTCAGACGGTATCTTTTTAATTTGCTGGAAGTTAGCACAGTCTGTTAAATGATGAATTGTTTTGGTCGAAGAAAATTCTTAGAATAAATTGATTGTTGTATCGAATTTCTATTCAATATTGATTTTGTTATGATATGTATGCATAGAATTTTATGACCAACGGTGTTTCGCTGTTACTTTGGTTCAATAGGTGGTCGTTTTTGTTACGATACAGGATTTTCAAAAAATTTTATCAATTTAAAGAAATTTGATGATTACTAAATTAATAAATATATCTTTACTGGTAAGAGTTCAGGAAATGCTCGATCATTGCTTTGGATTACATTTTTGATGATGACATTGACTAAAAATAGAAACAGAAAATCTTGTAAACAACATATATTTACATGAATGCTGTTTCATAGATATTTTAACTATAAAATAAACGCCATTTTAACAGTTTTGCTAATGCTAGTAACTCAGCAAAAATAAATTCTAAATACAATAAAACATAAATCATTATGAGCTTACATTTAAGTAAAAAGCTAATTGATCGACCCAATGTCTTGATCCATGCTTGTACTTCGACACTGCACCCATTAAATCCTCTTGAGAGAACGTATTAATGTTACATAAACTACCATGACTACGATAAAGTTCACCATAGTGAATATGAAGATGTAGAACGAAGTTTTGCTGAGATTCATTGAATAACTCATGATCACGATAAAAAAATTTCAACAGTTGGTGTGCATTTTGAGCTGTTGCAACACTAAAAATTCGACGACCATGAAGCAGCTAAAATAATATATTCAATTTCGCGATATCTATCTACGGTAAACTAAAATATTCTGATGTTAAAACTGCTTTTCTATATTTTGTTTTGTAGTTCATTTTTGAGAAAGTAACGCTTCCTTGGAGAAATACTACTGCAATCTATTCAGTTTATAGCCTGATTCTACATGACAATATGTCCTAGAGAAAATTGCACATGATTAGTATAAAATATTTGAATGGCTGAAATGTTCAAGTATTATACAAACCTTCCGAAGAATTGAATTTAAAGCAAACGTTTTTCATTGAGTAGATATATTCGTCATCTACTACACATCTATTGAAATTTAAAAAAAAACGATAATAGTTTGATTATCATATCAATACACATAAAAGTATCTCAATTAAGCACCATTAGTGATCGTTCAACAGAACTGTTTCCTCGTATTGAACAATCGCAATTGATAGTGCTAAACACAGAAACATTAAGAAATTCTATCATTAAATATATATAATCTGAACAAATTTTTTCTTTGTATTTTTTTGTCATAATCTTCAGCAGCTATCACACCATCTGGTATTTAGTCATTTCATCTATTTAACTGTTTATTTTCATTATTAGCTTGAAACTTAACTTATTTTATTTAAAAAAAACAATTTTCAACATTTGATCTTACGCGAACAAATGCAATCCGGCAAAGTCAGGGATAGGAAAATCATATTTATGTATAAATCTAATATTGAAAATCTGATAGTATACAATAAATGCATCCTTATTAAAGTGTCTTTGAACGAATAGTTAATGAAGACTTGCTAAAAATATCATTACTGCTTATTCTAGTGAATATTTTGCTTTTTACCTTAACAGCCTTGTAGACATAGTTCCTTTTCTTACTATGATTCAACATTCTTTAACTGAGTTGATTCAGAATCATGCAGTGATCTTGCTTCTGCGAATATTAACGGTGCATTGGAAACTTAATGTGATATTGCTGTAAGATAGTGAAGACGACCAAAAGAACAGGCGCATATACTACATACTCGTAAAAAAAACAATATATTTTCACTTACACGAATACCAATGACAAAGAGACCAATATGAGCGATTCTTTCACATTCAAGTAAATTTCGAACCATAGGTAAAAAACAATAAAGAAGAAGATTCCGTATTTCCGATGCTCTAAATGAAAGCAAGATAAACAAATACAATATCAATGACAATTTATACTCACTTGATATGTGTTTCATTTAATGGTCGAATAGCTCTGTGAAAGAAATGAGGAAATTTTTGAATGGACATCTGTTTGTCCAGTAAAGAACGTTGTTTAGGCTTCATGACTTTATTATAATTATAAAGACATATTTTCTTTGCATGTCTCAAAAGCGAAACATGCATAAAATCAGCTATAGCTGCTTCCGGCAAAGAAATATCCAAGATTTTATTCAGTATAGATAATCCACGACGTCCATGAACATTTGTTCGAAAATATTGTGCCCGTTTTGAATCATACGCAAAATTCGATGAATCTCTCATCTGAAGATTTTCATCATAATAATATTGTCGTTTATTTATTACATGTTCGCCTTTTGTTTGACAGTACCAGCAGCAAAAATAACCTCCGTGTGATATATGATTTAATATTGAGGTCATTGCCGGGCAATCAGCGATCACCCCATAGACCTTTAAGAACATTTGACCATTTACCCTGGTTGGAAAACCTACAAAAGAATTATTAATTCTAATAAAAACAGCTGATAAGTCAGAATAGATTGATATAAAGTTCAACATGATTTCATAAACGTGTCTACAAAGATTTTAATAGATAGACTCCAAGTGTGGACTAAAGACAGATAATTGGGGTCAAAAGCAAATTTAACGATAAAATACTAAAGACTAAACAACATCGCAATCTATTTCACATTTTTTCGTAGTTCTCAATAGAAAACAAATATTTCAAAACTTAATAATAAAGGAACTTAAAACAACTTTACTTATGCTCAAGGATTCTTTTCGTCTTCATTTGACTTAACCTCAATACAAAAAAAGTACTTACTATGCAGTCCCAAGCTATAATAATCTTATTATTTTTTATGCTTATCACTACTATTTACTTAGTATCAGTTTCTAAAAACATAATATAAAACTTCTCTTTATTTGAAAACCACCAAAATTATCATTTCTCACTAATAAACTATACAAATATCTTAGTCGCTACGGGTAATTTTAATTGAACTTTCACCTTTTTGCTTTAGATTTGCCAGTTAATGAAACGAATGATCTAACCACAAATTAATATCTGGTTGCTCTTTTGCAATCCACATAGAAAGAATAAGATTGTTTTGTCTTCTAATTCGAACATGAGGTGGAAGTTCAAGAATAGAACAACTTAAAATCCATAAGCATTCCCTATTCGAGGGACTTAAACTGATGCCATCTATGTGTAACAAAATGCTGATAAATGGATCAGTTATCGAATCACATAAAAATTTATAATTTTTATTATAAACGATGTCATTGGTTTCATTATCAGTTTGTTTATTTTAAAAATGCTGTCGATAAGAATCAATAGTTTAAAATAATCGATCATATGTTCGAGTGAAAATTATTTCTTGCAATGCATCGCAAACAGTGGATATTCGTTTTGAATTAATATTGGAACATTTGAGACAGATATTCGATGTTGTTGAAAGCTCAATCTTGCAGTTGATACACAACACTCTTTTGATAAACAAATCTTCCACTAAACACAAAGAACAACGATATTTGGATTATATAAAGAAGTCAATGAGTTCAATGCGAATAGAAACCTGTCAAATCAAGCGATTATGAAGTTAAAGATAATTCCATATTGAATTAATGAGTCTATGAAAAAACAGTGCGCTTCATCCATAGTCAAGTGAACAATGGTTCAAATATTAAAGAAAATGATTAAACGTTCGGTTCTGTAGAAGAATCTATTTATTTGAATATTCGCCGTTTTGAATCACTTTGTCACTGCACATTTTTCATTCATTTAAAACTAGAGTTAAATCATGCAGTAAAAGAATCCTTTTAGCGTTTTGAAGTAGACACCATTTAAGATGAAAAACAGTAACAAACAACTTGTGACATTTTTATAGAAATTTTATAGGCATCATTGACATGAAACTACCTAGGATTTTGAAGTAGACATTTATTATTTTAAAAACTACAATGATGCGTTATTTAACAGTTTTTCTTGATAAGAAGAATATGGCATTTATTCATTTCGTAATATTCAATCAATACACCTCAAGAATGCATTGAATTGATATAGCTAGAATTTCACTATTTAGCAGTATCCAAACTATCTAGCTATTAGCGACTTTTTTTTATCAAACTGTCATGCTCTCTCAGTAATATTAATCGTGTATCTACAGAAATTATGGTGCAATTTCGTCGTCCAGCGGCATAAAAAAGCAAGCTAATGACATTACTTGAAATGATTTGAAGAATATCAGCATAATTATTAGGTAAACTATTTGGCTGTGGTAGACCAGATTGTATCAACTTGATTAGATTTTCAGCATGGCTTTTGGAATAAAATCGATGAGATTTTGACAAAATGAAAAACAATTCGTCAACGTATGGTTATGCAGATTTAGATCACTTGTATCTTCATCGCTGACAATATCATGAAACTTAGTATTATCATAACTGGATGACGAATCATCCAAAACTTCCTCTGTTTGTCGATTTTCATTATTCATCGGGATCGAATTCGGTGTAACACTATCTTCATATTCGTCTTTTTCATCATACGAGTTTACTTTTATTGCATTGAAATTTGTTATCATGGATGATTCTGATTCAACATCAGATGAATCTTCAAAGTAAGAAATTAGTTGAGATTTTGCACGAGCTTGACGACGATAAATTTTATTCTTTCCCAAACGAATTTTTTTTCTCTTTTGAGCATATTGGAGAGCTATTTCGATATCGTTCATAATAAATAGATTTATTTGATGATGATAGAAAAGCCAATTTTTTATATTATTATGCAGCATAACTGTGATTTAGAAGATTCTTATAGCAAAAGCCACTTTTTTCACGCTTATTATAAATCTTAAGTTTATGTCGACCATGAAGAACAAAGCTTTGGTATTCATCAAGACCTTAGAATACATAACATTTTATGACTTGGCTAAATTGCAAATGAACGACACAACCAAAATGAGACTGAGATAACACGCTTGGTGTAAAAGCCGATGGTTTTCACATTTTGCTTTATTAAATAGGATATTTCAATAAAACAACGAAAAGCGTGAAAATATTCAATTAATACGATGGAATTATAATATAAAAGTATTTTTTTAAATCACTTTTGAATGAATAAATTTCTATGCAAGATTCAGTCGAGATAAGCTACACACATTTGCACGTACGCACACAAAATCGTCATTGCATTAAAATGACATAACCTCTAAATGACGAAAGAGGGCATTCTGTATCGCGAGCGAATGATAGCTTCATTTATAGGAGCGTTTGAATAAAATAAAAATGCGATAAAATGTTTTTATTTTCTTGATTTCGATATGACATGAATATGAATACAATCTATCACAAATAATATAAGATATTAAAAATGAAATATATAAGTACTGACTTGTTTAAATAATTTATTTCGAAAAAATTTCATGTATTATAAATGAACAATGAATAGTAAACATTATCTTTTTCGTTTATAATATTCTTTTTTATAATTTAAAAGAATTTTTTAATAATGAATTTCCAAATAAGAATATTAAATACATTCTTTGTTTCACTTTGAGAAATCTACTTCTTTATTCCTACAAACTGTAGATATATGAATTAAAGCAAGGAAGACAAAAGCATTGAAAATGCTTAAAGAGGTGTATGGTATTATTTGAGAACAAGTGACTGGAGTGGAAAACGATATTGTCTTTTTAACAAAGTTTGATTTTAATGAGAATTCATTCACAGATTCTGTGAAATCACATAACGTTTCTCATCAACACTACATACGCTTCATTTCAGATTCATTAGCTGAAAGCAAACATATTTTGAGACATTGGTAGAATTTTCAATCATTTGTCTTTATTTGGTGTTTGAGATGCTTTTGTTTTGTTGGTATTTATAGAAGAAATGGAATATTATAGCTTTTTCATCAAAAGGAAAAGTTCGACAGTTACAGTGTATCCAGAGGTGTAAGCCGTGCGGCTGAGCTACCGCCGCCACCGACCCCATTCATAAATTTTAACAACCTTTCAGTCATTTTTTCCTTAATTTTGCATGAGTTACAAGTTCTAAGTAATTGCCTCCATTATTTATGTTTGTTACATTCTTTTCATATAAAAAGACACTAGTATTATAAGGGCCAATTAACAAAAAACAAATTGACGCAATAAACTTGCGTATGCTAGGTGCTTCTACTTATTATAACGATCTAGGTAGTGGTTTTTCATTTATTATTTATCCTAGTGGCTACACTTACGTTTCATTAATTATTCTTCTTCGTGGTTATATTTACGTTTCATTTATCTGTATTCTCAGTGCTTGCATTATTTTTTTTCGCCTATGAATAACCTTCGTGATTTTGTTTTATTCATTAGCAATTCAAGCTAAGTTTCATATTCAAAGTTTGATGACTTTACCATGCATTAATAACTGTAGTAATTCTTATTTATCATTAGTTTTGGTGATGCTTTTTCAACACTAAGAAATTTGTAAGTGGCTTTTATCGATACATAAATCATTATGCTTCTTTTGCTCATTTTTAGGTTTGCCTTGTAATCGAAATGAGAAATCTGCACTGTGAAAACAAAACCTTTTGTCAGCATTAACCTAGCTAATGCATCAAAAACATTGTTCTTCTGGGTTCATTTTGATTATTTATAAAAAAAAAAGGTTGAGTTAGCTAGTCGATAATGAACAAGCTTAGTGCTAAATTTGGTCCAACGAATTCAAAAATTAAGAATCTGATATTTATTTATTTATTTTTGAATTAAAACTCCTGTTTTCATTTCTAAGAATGTAAGCGATACAAAATGTACGGGAAGTCGTTTAATGATCTCCGACTACGCTTTTGAACAAAAGATTTGTTCATTTTTTGTTTTTTCTAAAGGTATTCTAGTCGAATGAAAAAAGTGATTAGGACTAGAGTGTTGCGCTCATTTCAGATATAGCCTTATAATATACGTGCCTATTCTTGTTCAGGAGTAGCAAAGAGTTCTTTAAAGGTCTCAAAATACACTTTAGACTATCTGGAATTTTCTCGATAATACTTTTTTAAATTTCATTGGCTTTAAAATGTTATAGGCGAATTAAAAACTATGGATTAGGTCTATAGCGCCGTGCTCTGTCCCAATATAGTCCGAGAAACTGTGCACCTGTTTTAGCCATAGAAATTAGAGTACTTTTTCTTAACCTGAAGCCGCCGCCGCCGCCGCCGCCGTCAGGGGTGAAAAAAAAAGAAATTTCGAGCCGCAGCCGCCGCCGTTCAACCTTAGGAATTCAAATCTGCGCCGCCGAGCATTTAAAAAAATATAAAAAACTGGCGCCGCTGCCGGTCACCCCATCGGCTAACACCTCTAAGTGTATCTATGAATTTTCCTACTGGATATTGATTAGTTTTCATCCAATTTAGGGCATAGAGGAAATATTCATTATTATATTAAACACTCACATAAAATTTTATGTAACGAAAACGTTGCTACGTAATGAACCAATGTTGTTTTCTATTCATTAATATTTTAGGAAGTTCCTTGGCAAAAAGCTCTCAACATTTAAATCTATCTAATTTAAAACAGTACATAAGCGACCCAGGAAATAAAGTTTAACATCGACGAATGATCAAAAAAAGCATGCTGAATTTTTTTCTTTGAGAAGATATGAGTTTCTCTCGAATAAAAGTGAAAAATGTTTTCTTGATTTAATAGGAAAATCAATTTAACACTTTGTTTTTATTTATGAAGTACAAATCTTGAGGGTGTGGGTGTGGGTGTAGCTTACTTGAACCGCAAAATTCCATCTTTTGTTGCGATCTTCTTTTTAATTAATTCTTAAATCTGATCAGTCAATAGTTTGTAACAACAAAGAAATAGTATTGTTAGATGACAGAGCTGCGCAGTGATTGAAGTTAAATGAATAGTTCAATATTGTTTTCGTAAGAAAATTTCTCAAGTAATACTTTACAAATTCTTATATATCTTAAATAGAAGTCTCTCAAAAACGTTCGTGAAATATCATATATAACTTTTGATGATTATTTCGATATGGTTAAAATCTGTAATTATCAAAGTCATTCAAGTTTTAAAATAACTTTTAAAGTTTGTTCATTTTTCATCCTTTCAAATAAACATAAACAATAAATATTGCGAATTCTTCAGTATACTGGAAACCAATAAAGCTTGAGAGCATTCAAGCTTTTATTCTAGACTCATAAATTTGATATATTCATCATCAAGAATGTTTTCTCATGTGGAAATTTATATAGATTTCATAATTGAAGAAAATTTCTTGCTATCCTTTTTTACTATGATACTGCCTTTGAAATGTGACTTAAAATACATATCGTGTTTGTTTTCTGATTAAAATGAGATTAGCATAGTAAAATTAATGAGAATTCGATAAAAGACATATTTCATACGCGTTTTTATGATCAGAAAAAGTAACATCAAATTTCTCTAAAGCAGTAAATTTACATAAATTTCCACATGGCTCTTAGTCAATCGATTTGATAAGAGCTTATCCATTTTAAACTTCAAATTTAATCAATAATTATTTGAAACTTTCATTCTTTTTACATTTTTCATTCCAATGGAGCGCAAGAAAGTCTGTAGCAAAAAATAGCATTTTCAAAAAGTCAAAATAAAATCTGATTTAAATCCATTTGTCTTAGCGAGAAAAACAGTGATTTGTATGACAATTATGATCGATAATTCGGACTTCATATAAGTAAGATTGATAAGAGGTCTCGTGTGTTTTTGTTTGACAGTTTAATAATATAACAGTATAAATGAATAAGCTAAGTTCATTTGCATCATAGTTACATGAACGAACAGAAATGATCTTTGGATTAGACACTCATAAACAGCAACTTTCTTTAGTTAGTTTAATGATGGATATGAATAGGGAGATTTCCCATCATAAATGACTTAAAAGCTTATAAGTCAATGTTAAAGTAGATTAGGGCTAAATATATTACTCGTCAAAGAATATTAGAGAAAATCAATTATATAATGCTTGTTTATTCGAAGAAGTGATTCCGTATAATATGCATGCAGTTGAAACATAGAGATCGATTAGCTATTCAGATATTAAAAATCCAGCTGCATCACATAAATTACTATCAAACAGCTTTGGTAGACGACATAAAATCTAGAATGAATCAATTTTCACTCAAATTTTAATACATAATCGGAATTCTGTCAAAATTTTAACTTGAAAATATATCATATAACTCAACATTTCTTCAAGACTTAAAAGGACAGATACATCTAGTATGATTAGATAATACATAAATTGTGCGGATTTGATATGACGAACTTTGATTCTATTACAATCTTTGCATACAACCATTTCGCGGCGTCATTGTAAAATTCTTGATTATTTACCTCTAACACCAATGATTTTCATATCGTAGGGCTAGATCAGTTTAGATGGGAAATTTTATTGAATTTAATTCAATACTACTATTCTTTCAGACGATTTTCTATGATTGATTCATCAAATTCAATTTCTATGCAACTTTTACAGCAATTGATTCAGAAGAATCCTCATCTATATAAAAAACAAAAGAAGAGAAAAAATCTGTCTTTTGCCTGAATTTTTGAAATAGAAAGTGAATTAAACTGTCAAAAGATCATAATTGACTGTTTTAACAATAGGATCTGGCTGAAATAGCATCAGTTAAACCATTTGCTTGTTACATTCATGCCGCGTTAATCCGTTATAAATTTGAAAAAGTTACTAGAATTTCTTTTATCAAGCATATTCTAATAGATTCTGTTTAAGCATCAACTATATGAACTCGCTATAAAGCGATATAATCTAACTAGGTTAATGATTCCTTGGTTATATTTTAGTAACAGCCACAAACGGAATAGATTGAGTATAAAAACGATTGACAACAGCTTTTACATTGAATTTTATTCAAAAGCTCCATGTTTACTTATTTGTTGTATATATTTTGAAAAAAATATTTTCCGTACCACGTCCATTTATCTTGCACAAGTACTTTTGAGAAGACTTGCTAGTAAGCCGATAGAAAGTTGTTAAAGTCATGGAACTACACGGGACACGTTTTCTGACGGATACCATCGTATCCTGCTGTGGGATTAGAGTGTTTGAGGCCAATTAAATACGGCCGGGTCTGCACTCCGTACCCGAATTGGAAACTGAAGGTATTTGCACCGGATCCTGCTCCCCTGAAAAGACATCGGAACCTTTCTCAGGAACCTTGCCGGAAATGGAAGCCGGATCCGCACCTAGCATCCGGTTGCAGGAATCAACGGGGAATAAGCAGGAACCGGTAGCCGGATCCGGCTCAGGAATCCTGCTTCCATGGTTTTACCGGAAATTCACCGGACCCGGAAGTTTCCCGCCGTACTGCTTCGACCTGGGATATTGAAAACTTAAGTGTAATCATGAACAAAAACCAAAATAAATTTTCAAAATCCGGTAACAATCAGATTAGTGACTGGATGTAATAAGATTAACAAAGAAGATAACACAATTTGTTAGTAGTATTGTTTCATGCTTCACAAATATTGATGCAAGTATGTTTTTTGGATACTCCTTCTAGAATCAGATAGTTGTCGTCAATAAAATTTGTACATTATATATGCGTATATATCACTCTCAAGTAGTTTCGTATACTGATTGATAGCCTACGGCGAGGGGTGGCAGAATTCTCACTACCAGAACGTAAGAATTTTTTATTCACAGCAGAATTTTACCAGAGCTTTGCTTGTATTGGACAGCAGAATTCTTGAATTCTGCTAGGCGAGAATTTTGTCACTGTTGTCATTCAGATACTGTTTAGCACATTGTACACGTCGTTTTTTTATCGTCAGATGTTAACATATGAGTACTTTTTGGTAAAAAATTTCTACGGCCATATTAATGAAGATGACGACGTATTGTTGTTGCATATACTGATGACAGAGATGTCATAATATCCTAACACTGGGTATCGTCGACATACCAGTCACGGTATCCATTCAAGTGGATATCTAAAATGGATACTAAAATGAATACCCATGTTCCTCATAGCTGAGGAATTTGAGTGCATTTGGTGTAACGAGATGGGTATCCATTTGGATGGATATCTATGTATTCTCAATGTAACGAAATATTTTGTGAGTTATTATTCTTTGGTTCTGGGTGAATTGATAAATCAAAATATAACGTTACGGGTTTTGATGATATTTATTTTAATAACAATTTGACATGGAATTGATAAATGATTACAATACGCACAATAATAATAAATGTTGAACTATTATCGTTTCACGATTCTAAACTGTAACTTCTACTTACTATTTCTAGCTAAGTAACTCTTTTCCTTAAACTATCTATATTACTCCTTCTCAATACTACTCCAGAATTATCTCTCTCCTTTTTCTATATTTTCTCGTCCTTTTATATCCTCGCTCTTCTCTTTCTCCATTTACTTCTATATTTCTATTCATTACTATAAAAAGAAATTATGAACTGAATAAAGAATAACTTAGGCCATTTCGATTATTTCATTGATTGACATAAACTCTTGATCCTATCTTTATCATACTTGACCTGATGACGTACTGATAATATCAAGAGGGTATTCTTTCTTATTATGACCTAATCTTGCACTAATGCTTTTATGAACGTCGTAATATCTAATCGTTCTTGTCGACTACTCTAATTATCCGTATAAAGAATAAGAAATTCCATAATGGGGAAACGCAGATATCTGAATCCAGAGGGGTGCATCATTCATAAAAAGGTACACATGATTTTCTGAATATCTGGGAATATAGATTATTGGCACATAAACCTTTCGCCGTAGAATAAGAAACCCTTCATTGCAAGAGTATAATAATAAACCCTTCACCGTAGATTCACAAACCCGTCTCCTTAAATTCAGGTGCAATAAATCCTTTTTATTTTCAAATACCCTTAGTTTTATAAACGTTTCAGGCAATAAACGGTTTTAGAGTTTCGGACAAAAACATAAACCCCTTAAGGGTTTATGAAAGCTTTTTTTAGTACTAGGGTTTAGTATTCTACGATTTTTTTTACAGTGTAGACGCTCTACAGAAGTGTTAGTTGCTGGAATACATAATAAACGTCGAGCTATGGAAGCTAATGTAGGATAAAATAACTTGTTATTATTCCAGTATATTAAAATATTCATATCTTTATCATTTTTTTCTGATTATCCATATATTTATCCAATTCCGTTTTTATTTCTTCACCATCTGGTGATTCATGTGATAATAATGGTAAATCAAATATATTATCTAATGAAGTGGGTGCATGAAATTTTTTCTTTTGTTGCGTTTTTTTTTCTTACTACTACTACTAGTATTATTATTATTATTTGATAATGATATTTGTTGTTCCAGTTGTTGATGTTTTTCAAATTCCAATTTTAACAATGTTTCGGCATGATATTTTTGTTGTGGTGTATAATTAAAACTTTTAAGATTAGGGTGAAGCATTGTTGCAACATAATGAACGTCCTCTACGACCCAATAATTTTCTAATTCTTCACCAATATATTTTTTTACTGGAAAAATTAATTGTTTGTCATCAGTATCATTTGATAAATTGATCAAAAATTGTTTATAAGGAATAACAAGATGCAATGTTGGTGCTTTTTCAGAACTTAATTTTTCAATAACATCACAAAAATGTTTTAAATATTTGCATTAAGATTCTACATCATCGTGATTTATCTTTAAATAATTTTTCTTTTGTTCACCATTTAAGATCCTAGGTAATTCATAATATACTTTTAAAAAAGAATTAAACATTAAGTATACACCATTAAAGCGTGTATCACAATAACTTTTTAAATATGTCGATAAAAGAGATTGCTTATGACATTGACGTACTTTGATAACAATAGATCTCACTATCTTAAACAACAATTGAGCAGCATTTACAATGAATACTTTCCTTCATAAATGAATGCTCAAGAACTTTATTTATATAATGTGCGCTGCATCCAATACGTTCAACATTATCTTTGAACGCACTTTTCATCTTATTTTCATTATCTGTAATCATAAAAACACGATCATTAACCCATGTAGTCGATTTTACGAAATAATGGAGATTGCAATGCATTATTTTTCTATAGAGATGTAATGGATACAATTGCATGATAATGCAACCTATCTAATGCTTGTAATGCATTGAAAGCTTCATATTCGGCACTTGCTACGCAAGATCTATATAATCCTATTAGATCGATATCTTAATCACGATAATGGTATCTCTGGGGTTCTGCACATCTATTCCCTTAACTTAAACTCTTAACTTTAATATATTAACTTATCCATATCTATCCCCTTAACATTCATTAACCCTCGCATATGTCGCAGGAGAAATTAAATTTTCCTAAATGTTCCTAGAAAAAATTTTAATTTTAATTTCTCCTGCCATATATATATATCTATATATAACGTATCATTTTGATCGCACCGATAAGAATCTGAAACAAAGACAATTAATGAATAAATTTGTTTATTCCCTGTACTGAAAGGAGGATCTTACGAAAAGTGAGTTAAATGCGTTCGTTCGTGTGTGTGTGCGTGTCCCCGTTCGTTCGTCCAATAGGAAAGCTGGGGGTGTGGGTGTGGGTGTCACTGCACTTCTTCTCTAAAATCACACTCACACCCACGTCCACACCCATGCCCACACCCAACCTTAACTGCGAAAAACCATGAATGCTTCGGGAACCTGGATGCNTGAACAGTATGTTGTCGGTGAATAAAATTTTATTCACCGACACCATGCTGTTCAAAACCACTCCGGGGTGATATAAACATGTGACTTGTATCTATTATCTCCCATAATTTTGTTTTTATTACTACATCATTACATTATCATCACCTAATATATCTACACTGTAAAAAAATAGATACTTTACCGAACCTTTTTCGAGGTTCCGTAAAGTACCCATTTTTTTTACAGTGTGGTGTATCACTTCCCTTTTCTATTTGTTATTCGTTTCGTGTCTATCACTTGTTATTTAAATTCCATTTTCAGAGTGTTTTACATTCAAGTATTTACTAGTTTAGTTGGTTTGTCTTCATCAGATACCTTCTTTAATAAAGCTAGTCAAAGTAATTTTTCGTGTCAATTACATGGATTCGTTTGCAGCTGGTGGTATAGCTGGTGTCAGTGAGATTCTAGTTATGTACCCACTCGATGTAGTGAAAACAAGAAATCAATTATTTGTCGGCAAGAGCATGGGAACAATCGTCTCACTCAGAAACATTGTAAAGCAAGAAGGTGTGAGCCGCCTTTATCGTGGTATTATTCTGCCAATTTGTATGGAAGCACCCAAGAGAGCTACAAAATTCGCAGCAAATGACACATGGGGTCAATTCTATCGAAAATTGTTCGGTGTCGAGAAGATGACCCAAAGTCTTAGTATCTTGACTGGAGCTACTGCAGGAGCTACGGAATCATTCGTCGTCGTACCATTCGAATTAGTCAAAATCAGATTACAAGATAAGAATAATACTCATCTCTACCTAGGTATGTCACTATATCGAAATTCAAGCTGAATTTTGATTTTTGGATGACTCACAATTTTCTATGTATGGATGAACAAAAACAAAAAAAGATAATAAATATGGAGAGAAAGAAAAATGAGTCGGTATTTTCTCCCGCTTTTCATGCACGTGTTATACGTTGTTCAACAAGAGTAACTGTTAGTTTTGCGTTATCTCGAATGAAAACAAAAGTATTTTTGGTTTTGCTTTTTTCATGAAAATGTTGTTTTGTGTCTTTTAAATCTGGAGTCTCGTTTTGATGGGGATTCGAATACCATTTTTTGAGCTTTCATTACTCCTTCATTCATCTACTCTAAAATTGGAGCCACCCACAGATCAAAAGTCTAGAGCTTTGGCGTTGAGATTGACTATATGTATGTATTTAGGAACTATGGACTGCCTTAAGAAGATTATTAAACAGGAAGGTATATTGGCTTTATACAATGGCTTGGAGGCCACAATGATGAGACACATTACTTGGAATTCAGGTTACTTCGGTGTCATCTTCCTGGTGAAATCGCGACTGAAGACGAAGCATGAGTTACTCAATAATTTCATTGCTGGAACCAGTGGAGGATGTGTGGGAACTATGCTAAACACTCCATTTGACGTTGTTAAGAGTCGAATTCAGAACTCTCCTCGAACTATTTTACCTCAAAAGTACAACTGGTCTATTCCGTCGCTTTTTATTGTGGCTAGAGAAGAAGGATTTTGGGCCCTCTATAAGGGTTTTGTGCCAAAGGTTCTTCGTCTTGGGCCAGGTGGTGGTATTTTACTGATAGTCTATACTACTCTAATGGAATTCTTTGCAAAATACAAATAGTGATGCGAGTACATGTGGAATGTGGGTATGAGTGGAGTAAGAAAAAGATCACCACTCACACTCCAACTGTTTATCCTATGAGTTTCGTTAATTCTTTTATTTAACTTCGCTTATCTCACTTTGTATTTATCATTCCAAACGATACTTTTTGTTTAATAATGTATTGTTTCTTATATGAATTCATAAAAGAAGATATATTTAGCAACGTTCATAAACCAGAAATTGTATTCTTTTTCTAGTTTTGATAAATACAATGATATATCGACATACTCCATCCATATAGAAATATTGACAGTTTTACTCATGTAACAGCTGGCACTTGGTGTCAGTTATTTCGTAAAAGCTCACTGTTTCAAAAAATCAAAATGTAATTTTAAAGTGTGTCGACCTAAAATAATTTAAGCCTATGTATCAATTAGACGAATTTAAGTGAATTTAGTCGAAATAGGTCAATCACTTTGCTTGTTTTGTTTTAATTCTCTTAAGTCTATACAAAACCTTAAAACAAAAATTTAATTGGTCTGTTTTGGTGTGATTGAGATCTATGATTGTTATCATCAGTTCACATACTATTCTAAGATGAAGAGTACTTTCGATTGATAAAAGATGTTTTGATATCGCATTCTTTTGTAAAAGAGTTTCTTTAAACTTGAAAATCTACAATATCAGAGAATTGATGCAGATTTTGATAACGGCGCGACTGTGGATGTATACATAGGTATTCATAGATTAGAGTGGGTTTTATTGCTCGCAACCGATCACTCAAGCGGAAGTGGAACTCGGTGGTCGCATCCAGGTTCCCGAAGCATTCATGGTTTTTCGCAGTTAAGGTTGGGTGTGGGCATGGGTGTGGACGTGGGTGTGAGTGTGATTTTAGAGAAGAAGTGCAATGACACCCACACCTACAAGCTTGCACCCACACCCACACCCACAAGGGCTGGTAGCTGCCAGTGAAAAATCAATATTTTCGTGAAATATGTCGTAAAAATGCTCTTTTGTTTCTTATCATATTCCAAAAATGGAAATATGATTAATATAAATAATACTAGTGCCAGCTTGAACTACAAATGCAAAACACTACTTTGATGCTCTAAACCGATATTTCCAAAATCGAGTAAAATTTTATATCAAGGATTTGTGTTGAAAAAAATCGTGTCTATGTGCTACTGAATGTTTTGTCGATAACTCGGTCATTTTTCAAAATATCAATATTTTGCCTTCATCGAAAGATAGCCCTGACTTTCAGTTACAAAACCCTCTTTCACAAAATCCATTAACATAGATCTATTCGCAGAAGTTATCATGTTTTTCGAATCTACCGTGGACCGAGGGCCTTTTTTGTCTGTGTTACCGACCAGTATTTTACTCATAAAATCCAAACAGCTAGAAGGATGAGGCTCAAACTTTGGCGTGTTGTAGAATATGTTTACCTACAATATATTTTAACAATTACAACTCCTTTTCCGTCTTACCGTGCTCGAGATATATTTGTTCAAAGTTGAAAAACGTCTGTGCGTTACCTGTGTTTTGTATGTAAAGTAAAAAAATCAAATGATCGACATTTGTGTTTTTCTGATCTAGTTAATATTCAAATAATGAAAGTAACGAAGGTGAGCACCTTTCAAAAATGTTTCTTCATGGATCTTTCTTTTCTCTACTTTATCTCATAAACGATATAATGATTCTTCCGCTATACGAGTAGCCCGTCGTTGTTTCGGCAGAGCTGTTTTTAAAATAGGAGGTAACTATCGATTTTGTGCATATAAAAATGATCATCATCGTAATAACACTGTAGCTATCATGATAAACACTAAAACTTCCAGATACAGTATTCGTTGTAAAGATGCTGATTGCGACAATACTATTATAATTTGGAATAAAATAGAGTAATCATCTATAAATTACTACAAATCCAATGCAAATTTTAACCTAAGATCATTAAAAACTTGCAGTAACTAAATCATGATTTGTATCTTATCAGCCATTTGTAAGGACACTAATTCAGAATCAAATTAGAAAAACAAAGAATCATTTGAAGAATCTTTCTCAATTCAATAAATTCTACGCTTTTTTTTGCCAACTGCTCGTTATACGCACTACACTTCATATCTAAACTAAACAATAATCACCTAACTATTATATCACTGATATAATTATATATGTAACGAATATTGGTGTCACCCTCCATTGATCTTCCTCTTTCCTCTTTATCTACTCTCTCTTTGTTTCGTTCATTCGTCTCGCTATACCGCTCTTCCTTGTGATTCTCTCTCTATTGCTCTCTCTCCTATATAAGCGTGTGTTCAATGTAAACTAGATACACTCTGGATATGTGAAGAAGCGAATAAACATCATTGCCGAGAGTGAAGGCAAGCTACTCCACCTCTATCCAGTTTGTCATTACGATATAAACTCAACAGAGTCTTATTAATCGTTACAATATATACACATCCTCAGTGTGACTTCCTAAAGATTTTTTCTTCATCTAACTATTACAAATACGTAAAAACCAAGCAATATTTATTAATTCAATTTTATTCATTATTCACACAGTTTCCCATAACCTTGAAAAACAGAATTCATATTCTAAATATCATTCAATATTGACGAACTCCTTCCCAACTTTTTAGAACATCAATTACTGAATATATATAAAAAGCGTTTTTGCTAAACTATAATGAAACACAGACCGATTTTGCGCGTATTTTCTCATTACAGTAAAACCTCTATTTGTGAATACCTCTCCTTTATGAACAGCCTGTTAATCTCAACGGTTTTGAAGTCCCAAAAAAGCGATTTTTCCTGTAAACGAACTCTTCCTATATGATCACCTTGCTATGATNAATTAGAGTAGTCGACAAGAACGATTAGATATTACGACGTTCATAAAAGCATTAGTGCAAGATTAGGTCATAATAAGAAAGAATACCCTCTTGATATTATCAGTACGTCATCAGGTCAAGTGTGATAAAGATAGGATCAAGAATTTATGTCAATCAATGAAATAATCGAAATGGTCTACGTTATTCTTTATTTAGTTCATAATTTCCTTTTATAGTAATGAATAGAAATATAGAAGTAAATGGAGAAAGAGAAGAGCGAGGATAAAAAAGGACGAGAAAATATAGTAAAAGAAGAGGGATAATTCTGGAGGAGTATTGAGAAGGAGCGATATAGATAGTTTAAAGAAAAGAGTGACTTAGCTAGAAATAGTAAGTAGAAGTTACAATTTAGAATCGTGAAACGATAATCGTTCAACATTTATTATTATTGTGCGTATTGTAATTATTTATCAGTTCCATGTCAAATTGTTATTATCTGTGTGTGTTCATATTATTATTAAAATAAATATCATCAAAAACTGTAACGTTATGTTTTGATTTATCAATTCACCCAGAACCAAAGAATTATAACTCACAAAATATTTCGTTACAGTTTTTGTTAGACGCATATATTTAAAGGGTTTATTATTCCACGGCGAAGGATTTATTATTTTACCCTTTCATAAAATAGTTTTTTCCGCTAAAAATTGCAATAAGACACGTCATACATATATCAAAATGATGTTGACTTTTCTGGTTGATGACAATTATTCATCAAGTATTTTTTTGAATAGATAGGAAGTCGTATAATAGAAACAAAGATTAATGAAAAACAGGCTCAATAACTTTTGCTCATTCTATGTTGCAATAGCTTATAATCTCACATTAAAATATATCATTCTCCATTAATTAGACGAGCCTGAAAAACAAAATGAAACTTTGTTTTATGCAGGCGACGCTTCTATAAAAAAAAACGTCACTATTTATTCATAAATCTTGAAGAATTTCATCAGTAAGTTAAAACATTGTATGCAATTAATAAGGATCCGCCAATTCCAACCAATTCCAAGTCAAGAATTGAAATTGAATTGGTTGGAATTGGAATTGGTGCATCCCTAGCATTTTGTTTTTTGAATCAACCGCTTTTGATTTAGCTTCTTCCAATCGATCCGATCAAATCGTAGGTAAATATAATTGTTTTTATTAAAATTACTGTTCTTAATCTTTTAGTTTAATTTCACATTGAAAATTCTAGGTAAGTAAAATCTTTGTATTTTAATTATTGTTTTATCCTTTTAGTTTTATTTGAAATTGAAAATCGTAAGTAGGTATAATTTTTTTCTTAGAACTATTGCCTTTAATGTTTTAGTTAAATATGGAACTGAAAATTCTAGTCAAGTATAATTTTTGTATTTTGAATTATTCTTTTTATTTTATTTTAGTCAATTTCAAATTCAAAATCGAACGTAAGTACAATTTTTCTTTCAATAATTATTATTTTTGTTTTTTTAGTTCAAAATTCGCAATCGCAATCGCAAGTGAGTATAATTTTCATAAAACAATTATGATTTTTATTCTTTTAGTGAAAAAACGAATTCAAAATCTAATGTAAGTATAATTTTTCATTAAATAATTCTTATTTTTATTCTTTTAGTGTAAAAACAAATTCAAAATCTAATGTAAGTATAATTTTTCATTAAATAATTCTTATTTTTATTCTTTTAGTGTAAAAACAAATTCAAAATCATAGGTAATTATTATTTAACAAAAATAATGTTTTTAATTTTTTTCGAATAGATTTGCTTCAATGGCTTATGAAGCTGAACATGATTTTTGGCTAAAAGGAAGCTTCCCGAAACCCGTTAGAAGGGTATTTGAAAGGGTTTATTGATTCCCGAAACGCTTTCATAAGCGCTTCTAAGGGTTTATGATAGGGTTTATGGTTTTCATAAACCCTTATAAGGGTTTGTGGCACGTTGCACTTTAATAAACTATTTTAGCGTTTATTATTCTACGTTTTTTTTTACAGTGTATTTTCAGATAGTGGAAATACTATTACAAATCGTCGTACACGTTTAGATGCAAACAAAGTGAATCAGTTGTTATTTATTCGTCGAAAACTATTAACATTAAGAGAAATATTTCCACCAACTATCGAACAAGCATAATTACAAAAACAAAAACCTGATTCTACCTCCTCAATAGAACCAACAAGAAAACAAAAAGATTCGCAAGTAGAAGACAATTGTGTTACCATTTTGAATGATAATCTCTGTAATACTGATTCCAATGATGATGATGACGATGACTATGATAGTATAAAGAATAATGATGATGATTATTTGGTAATAATTTAATGACGAGGCAATAAACTTTTCTTTTTTTATACACATTTGTACTTTTCCTGCTAATTACATATCAAATGGCTAATCCAGATAAAAGAGTATTCTATAAGCATGTATGTATTTCAACTCATATATGTAGATCCGATAAAAAAATCTTTCGGGAATGCCAATTTATAATGTTGTTCCCGTTTCCCGTGTTCCCGGGCAAAAGTCTTCATGGGGATTCCCGTTCCAGTTTCCCGCGGGAAACAGGGCGGGAAAATACGGGAAAAGTCGTTCCCGCAGGACTCTAACCCACCCACACCAAAGTCTCATTCTGTTATCCGATTAGCTATTCATCTTCCCAATATGTAACCCGTCTATTTTGCAGAAGGAAATGAATTAGAAGCGTTGAGTCGAGCAACTGAAAGGGATATCACCCTCATTGCATGGTTCAAATTAAATCGTGACAACCTAGATGCTAGAAGATATCTGTATCATGATATTCTGAACCACTTTGTTTTCGACCGAGAAAACAAATAGAAGCGTCGACAGCAAGGTGGAAAAGTCATTGGTAGAATGTATTCCTTTAGTCCGAGAGATACAGAACGCTACCATCTTCGCCTGCTACTATTGCATACACCAGGTGCCTGCAGTTTTGAGGAGCTGAAGGCAGTATATAACCAAATCTGTCAGACAATTATGGATGCCGCTAAAAGACGAGGTCTATTATGTGATGACACTGAGCATAAGTAATGCATGACTGAAGCAGTAACCTTTCAGATGCCATCACAGCTGAGAACACTATTCTATGTGATGCTTCTGCATTGTAACCCCAGCGATCCGATAGATCTCTAGAATTCATTCAAAGCAAATATGGCCGAGGATTTTATGCGCCAATTCGGCGCTGAAACAGCAGAAGCAATGCTGTTCTATGATATTGAAGCAATGTTAACAGAACAAGGACGAAGTTATAGCGACTTTGGCATACCAATACCATCCGTGTTTTGTCCATTACAATCAAAAACATCAGCAAAGAAGAAAAGCTTCGCTTCGGACAGAAAATTTACGAAACACTGAACGAAGGACAAGGTGTCAGTGTTTTAACAGTTGCATGGACCGGGATTGCTCCGAATTTATTGGCTGAAGGAAGAGCGGTTCATAGTCGTGTTAAACTTACAGTGCCTCTCTTGGAGATGTCTACATCCAGTATTCGACCAAACACTAAGGAAGCCGACACAATTGGAAAGGCTGACGTCGTCATTTGGGACGAAGCACCGATGGCCCAATCCTATGCACTTAAAGCTGTTGATATTTTACTTAGGGATATAATGAACATAAATGTACCTTTCGGTGGAAAAATTATGGTACTTGGGGGGGTTAGAGTCCTGCGGGAACGACTTTTCCCGTATTTTCCCGCCCTGTTTCCCGCGGGAAACTGGAACGGGAATCCCCATGAAGACTTTTGCCCGNGGGGGGTTTCACTAAGTTCTTCCGATTGTTCGATTCACTAACAGGTCACATCTGGTTGCTGCAAGTCTTTAAAGCTCGCAACTTTGGCCTTGCTTCCAAACCATCCACCTAAACAAGAACATGAGAACAGGACTAAGCGAAGAGAAATTCTCGGAGTGGCCTATTAAGTTTGGCAATGGTGAACTACCAGCAAGCGAAAATGACGAAATTGATTTCCCAACAGGCTGCATATCAGATGGTAATTTAGCTGATGAAATATTTGGCAGGCATATTTCTCTGGCAGATGTTCCGAATTTGTGTGACAAAGGGATTTTGTGCCCCCAAAAAACGAGCATTCTCTTATCGTGCATAAGCAAGTACTTCAACGTCTACCTGGAATAGAAAAAGTGTACTCAAGTGTGGATGACATTGAATGTGATGACGACGAAGATATCCGCAATTATCCAACAGAATTTCTGAATAGTCTTACTCCATCAGATATGCTTCCTCATCATATATGTCCAACTTGAAACTTGAATTCAATTGAAAATTAAAATTTTCAATTTTCAACTTTTAAACCAATAGCATTCTGAAAAATGGTGACTCACACATATATCACCATATGTTGAAAGTTGAAACTTGAAATTTTCTATTTTCAACTGAATTCAAGTTTCAAGTTTGACACTACTGTTATACCAAGGATAAGTTTGATACCTTCCGATACATTTTTACCGTTTAAAATACGCAGGCGGCAGTTCCCAATTCACCTATGAGTTGCTATGACTATCAATAAATCACAAGGACAAACGTTCAATCGATTGGAATTACTACTGCCACAACCCGTTTTCAGTCATGGTCAACTCTATGTTGCTTTTTCACGCGTGCGTTCACTGTGATCTATCAAAGTGCCGGTTATAGAAGAAAAGAAAAATAGTAAAACAAAGAAAACCAGAAATATAGTTTTTCATGCAGTTTTGTAAATTTGTACATAGATTTTGTATACACTGTAGGTAAGGTTTGCTATATTCCTGATAAGTTTTCTAAATATTCAAGATAACTTTTCTCTCTACTCTAGATACTTTTATAGATATCGTAGATATGTTTGAAAAAATAAACGTAGTAAAACTAAGCAGCCTTTCTACGATCCGTACCATAGTCTTTCGATTGCAATTAAACACAATTACTAACTAACTATACATCTTTCCATATAATTAAAATAAAAATAGACGTGCATTTTGCACGGGGGCTCGCTATTTTGTTTAATATTGTCGTCATCTGTTTCGTCCTTTTTTGCTTTTTTCTCACTTGCTAAACTGCTGGCTGAACATTTATGAGAATTATTAGTAAATTTTTTGTTATCAGCACCTAGCACCTATAAAACAGAGAAGTTTATAGTTTTAATACTAATTCCCACTATCTATCTGTAAGACCTATTGTTCACGATTGAATTCTACACTATTATTAAAAACCCCAAGCGAATGTACAAGAAAAGATTACTACACTCAATGACTTAAAATATACTATATAAATAAACTGTTTTCTATGTTGAAAAGCATACACCAAAATTCATTTCCAACATCCTGTATTTTTTCATTCCGAACATCCGGAAAATTGATTTTATGTTTTATATCCGATATCGAATATCCGGCTCTTTGACCGAGTGTCTGGAAGAATAAAGGCGAAAAGGGACAGATCAGTACTAAGGTATGTACGATTATCTATTTGTTACAGTTGCGGATTGAGTCTGAAATACTGAACCGCCTTAATCTAACACATGATGATGAGACGATGCATTATATAATTCGATAAACTTTGTATCGAGCGTTGCTTGATCTATTCCAAAGAGCCGACATGAAAAACTCGAAACAAACGAAATCATTGATAATAATATAACAATGCCATATGCCATGAATTTGAAGGGCTGTTTGTTCATCTTAACTTCAGAATATAGATATTTTCAGGTAGTAGAAGTACGAGTCTCCCTGTCTCTTCCTCTCTGTTTTATAAAAAAAATAGTAGATATCAAGTAGCAAACACAGCAGATATGTTTTTACATGACATACGCAAATATACAATGATAGGGCATGAAGCGACTGTCGCCATCATACTAGCATTTGTTTTCAGGATCACTCATGTTGGTTCAAAATTCTTTGATTACATTACAGCAACAACATTTGTTGAATCTCCCATACCGGAAGATCAGAGATTTCTGTAGTTGCTAAATAATAGAAAAGAGAAATAATTAATGATATTCGAGAAATAGAAAAATCTTCATGTACCGACATGACCACCAGTACCACTTCCTGATTTCACATTCGTTCGAGTATCACTCATCATAGTAAAGACATCGTTTATTTTTATACATATTACTAATACGCCTGATTATTATTAAAAAAATATCATTCGTTCAAAAACTAATTATAATCTTCAAATGATTGGAACTTCAGGATGTAAGCCTGAATAAATTAATATCCTTTTTTTGTTTATACTTGATTAAAGATAAAGAAAGTGTGGATGAAAAAAGAATACAAAGAAAAATTGCCATTCTATTTTAATATCTGAGGGTGAGGGTGAGGGTGAGGGTATAAATCAATTCATAAACAGATCGACCTATCTTCTAACGAGAAGACAGACTAATCTACTACTCTCGACTCTTGCTTTTCAGGGTGTGGGTGTGTGGGTGTGTGATTAAATAGAACTACAAAGCCGATACTATAAAGCTAAACCCGCACGCATTCCTAAAAATTCAACATTTGGACTACGACTAATAAAACTTTTAACTTGAAGTGTTGGTGTATAGGTGCGTTTGCGGCGTGGGCGCATGTATTTTCGATCTAAAGATCATTACCAATACAAAAACCTTGATTTCAAGAATCGATTACAAATCGATTTTAATCATACGATTTTAATCAATAATTTCAGTTGTAATAAACATAGCAGAATCAGTATTTAATCGATTATTTCTACTTTTATGATTATAATCAATTTTTTTAATATTCTTAATCAATTATAATCATAAAATGGAAATAATCGATTAAATACTGATTTTGCTACGATTATAACAGTTGAAATTATTGATTAAAATTGTATGATTATAATCGATTCTGACCTCTCTAAAGCTGAAGTTTTTCGTTTTTTTACATGGGTAGTTCACCCGCACTCGCACCCACTGTTTTCAGCTCTCCCCTATTTTCTACAGGTGCCCAAGTGCGATATGGTACGAGTGGGTGAATGCATGTGAAGTGGCTGTTTTTTTCTCCTACAGCTATCTCCTATACTTACACTCCACGCCTACACTGTAAAAAAAAAGAGTAGAATAATAAACCCTTGTCCTTTCTACAAATCATGCTAAACCCTTGAAGGGTTTATGAAACGAAGGGTATATGAAAAAAAGATGAGACAAGAAGAAAAAGGAGCTATTAATCTGAGATTTAAGGAGAAGCTTATATGATTTTATCTTCAAGGGTATTTTATTATACGGTTTCGAGAAAAGGGTTTATTACTTTCATACTAAGGATATTTTATTCTACGGTCTCGAGAAAAGGGTTTATTACTTACTTAAAAAGGGTATTTTATTCTACGGCTAGNATATGAATTCATAACCCTCATAGACTTTGCATGCCATTCGACAACGATTGTAGTCATATATGGCTGCGCGGTACGTATACTTGTCTCTTAATCATTGGTTCACATGTTCTAATCTCATTTCTATCATTTCAGATTCATCGACATGTCGATATGCTAACAGTTCGTTGACCTACAGTAGGGTAAAGATCATGGATAGAGAATATCGATGCTGACTCAGATCAAACCTGAGACGAACTGAAATAATTTTTTCAATAATTTTTAATAAATTGTATGAAACGCGTCTAGCCGCAGTTTTCTTTGAAGACGCGTCCCCTGTGAAACATTCGAAGCGTTCAGACGCGTTTTTATTTCAAAACACGTTTGCCCTTGATTTTGCAAAAATCCGCGTCTGAACGAGATTTTACCTTCAGCCGCGTCGAAACGCTTCGTTTGTTTCACTGGAGACGCATTTAGACGCGTTCGCTTCTGTACGTTTCGCACGCAAATGGAACGCGTTTCAGACGCGTTTCGAGGCAAAAAATATTTACATGGGCGTTGCACTTTCATAAACCCTTAAAGGGTTTATTATTCTACCCTTTTTTTTACAGGGTACCTATTACACTGAAATGCAACTACATGCGCAAGCACACCTGATGCTCAAGTCGGCTGTCATGCCAATATCGAAACATGCATGTCTACCCGTACCCGCATATATCTGCATATAAAATATTATTTAGAATTAATGGACTACCATTATTCAAATTTAGCGACATAATGGCGAATAGGTTAGAAAAATAAATTTACTGTGGTAAGTGAAGTGTAGAAGAGCTTGCATTGCTGCCAAATTGGATATTATATGCACTACTAAACGAAAAACATTTGAAGTGTATGATTTAGTTGGTTTTAGTGAATTAATTGGTTAAGAAAAATTTAGCTGTGGACCGTATTTCATTTTTCATCAATAACCCAACCTATCGAATACTTAACAAGTACCATGAAAGTTCTTCTTGTAGCTATCATTGGCCATATTGTATTCAATAATTTTATATCTGCAGAACTCGTGCAGTCAGGCATAAAACAAGATCGATGTAAGCAAAGGAAATTGAACAAAATGGAATATTTTTAGAAATAAATTCATTTAGGTCAAACTGGTGTCGTCTGTATGGGACAGTGCAATCCTTATAGCGGTGATATTAACTGCTCTAATCGTAATGTAGTTCAAGGAGTGAGGTTTTCGCAGCCATTTACTCAGACACCTCAAGTGTTGCATGTCGGATTCTATCATATAGATGTGGGGTAAGTGATGAATAGCCATATACCAAGGGGAAACAGCGATTTCTGATTTTGAGTGATTTTTGTGATGTTATTTGATTTAGAATGAGTTTCAAAAAAATAAAACTTTCTGGGTCTGGGTGGAAATCATTTACAATCACAGAAACTGGCAAATAGTGACTAAAAATCATGAAAAATCATTGAAGCTAATAGTAATTCGTTCAAAATCGATTGATTTATGAGGATTTTAAACTGATTTTAAGATGATTTAAATCAGTTGTTTCCCCCTTGGCCGTATACAATGATGTAGATTTATTTTCACTAGTCTAATGTAACGCATTCATTAAGACGTTTTTTTAGATACCAGACATGAATTACCACTATAGGAGATGAGTGAAATCAAAGCGAATATGATTTCGTTCATTCGATGATGATAAGTTTTCTTGTCTAAAAGCGAAGCAGAGGACTAAGAGTGAAGTTAGCGTGAACAGATATTTGGATTATGATTGTTGTTTGCTTTTATCACTTGTAGGAAACACTTACCGAGAGAAGACATCTAGTTAGACTTTGGTATATGACACCTAAAAACTTGTATTCATGCTCTCCATAGTCGAATTGTAACAAAATAAAAGAACCATCAGCAGTTATCTCTAGTGCACCTTTTTTAAATTAATACTCAGCAGAATTAAGGAAGTAATATATCGAGTCACTATATGTATGTCAGCAATATTCTTTGATACCATCAGTAAACTAATGAAAGTGCTTCTGTCAAAAATTATTTGTATGGTTGATTTTTTAAAGCTGATTTATATGATAGTCATATGTAAGCTGTAATAATACACAATTTTCTGTCATTTTATGAAAGTTACACCAGCGTATTCTCAAAGAAAATATGGTGTGAGTTGTAAATTGAAATTTCGTCACTCAATCTCTCGCACCCTACTTTTATTATTGGTCTAAATCAGTGATTGGATACTCAGTAAAATACCTGTACTTTTTGCACTTTTACTGAATAATTGCGCACACTTAAGTAAACTTTCTCATTACCAGTAAATTTACTTGTACTTTTCAACTGAATTATCAGTATTTTAAGTACAAAATTTACTTTCATCAGCATGTCAACATATCCAAGTATAGTAGCACTTTGCATTATCAGATTTTGAGTTAGCATAATTAAAACTAACTCGTAATATAATTCTATTGAGATATCGATTGAACAAATAGTGGAATCAACTATAGTTAATAATGAGCCTTATTCCCACTTTGCTTGTTGGCCACACTTACAGTGAAAATAGCCCCCAAACATATATGTTTGTTGCTAAGTGCGGTTTCTTTCCTTTTATCTATCTTTGCCAATCGTCTTCCTAGCTTAGAGAATGTCCACTTATCACCTTTGTCTCTCCTCTCCTTAATTGCTGTATCTCTTTGAAGTTGTCTTCTCCCTTTCTGTTTCGTAAAGAAATGATTAGCATTGAAAAGATACGAAAATTATGTTTGTACTTATTTTTCGAATCATTACAACAAACAACCATAAAGGGTGTGGGTGTGAATATTACACTATTCTAATCCAATCCCACTCTTAATACGCACACTCTCACCCATGCCGTCTATTTGTTTTGATCTCTGAGAGCTGCAGTTAAGCTTGCCGTTATGAATCGCGCACATGTGATCTTCTTGTATATTACCATGTCTGTTTATTATTATTTCATTTAGGGGACCTCAAGGTACACACGTTCGATTCGCAAAGGAACACATGACACCATACGGATTCAACATTCGATTCGTATCATGGAGCGATGATATTACTTACAACCTGTGCGTTGAATGGCTAGCATGCCCATGAGCAACACTAGTTTCGCTTTTTATCCCATTATATTTGCTTTCTGCAATGAACTTTTTTTCGGTGTACGAAACTCGCTTGGTAATGTCACACTTTTAATTAAATTGGATTTCCCTCTTTGAAATTTGCACACGGTATTAACGATTATAAAATTGATAGAGACCAATGTCGTGTATGCAGTGTGTAAGCATGAGTGGAATGTAGGTGGGTGATGGCGTGTTTATTGCAGAATTTTTTAAAATTCCAACCTACTTGCGACGCGTTTCAATCAGGACTTAATCTGATCATAATCAACTAAATTTGGAATCTAAATAACTTTATATCGGGTTTGTGACTGGTGTCAATCTTATCGCTTTATTTCAAAGAAATGTTTGAATATGAGTGTTCTCTGTTAAATAATTAGAATTCCCATATTTTAATTCAAAACTATTGATTTATCGATAAATTGAGTGTTACAAGATAATCGATAAAAAATAACATTAAAGGAGGGAGGCGCATAAGAAGCCAAATCAGCCCATTTTATTTATGCCTTTAAAGATATTGAAAAAATGCACGGAACTACCAAAACAAATGCGCCGATTATTTCTACATAGAAAATAAAGGATTTTATAAACATTCCATAGATCAAATATACAGTGTGACTTAATAGGGCAATTATATAGATATCTAAAATGAAATTGTCTACTATGACTAAGAAAAATTTTTTACTAAAACTTGAAAAACTATCTCAACCGATGGAGCTTGAAAAGCTCTACAAAATGGTACTATTTCCGAGTCAAAAGAACAATGGCCACTGGACGACTATAATGACAATATTGTGGAAAATCTAGGAAAGTCCCTGCAGCCTGGATTCTCTTGCAGTATACTCGCATAAGGTAAGTTTCTTGCTTCAAGATGGTTTCTACCTCGATCGATAGAGTTTGAAAAGCTTTACAAAATGGTACTATTTGAAGATCGAAGAAGCGAAGGTAATGGCTGACTTGGGGAGGCAATACACTGTAAAAAAAATGCCATGTGTCTTACAAGACGGTTCACCCGTCTTAAGACTAGTTTAGACGCGTACTAGACGCGTAAAGTGTCTTGTTTTTAAACATATGAATGAAAAGGCAGGAAAGCGTCTTAACGTTCTCTTTCTCGTAACCCATTGTTATCACAAGTGGCCAATGGCTCGCATTGCTTTTATTTCTTTCGTAGTTTTATTAATATATGTTTAAATGTGAAAAAAATAATTCCAAAGTGACTTGATTATTATACAAATAATAATTTAGTAAAATTCATTTTCATGCATTCTTAAGTCCATCACACCAGCTATTCCTCTTTCCTTATTTCATTATGTAATAGAAAATAAATGTAAAATTGCTCATCATCAGTAATAAAAACATTGGCGCTAGATCAACTACATAATTTTACTAAACAATCTTTACAAAAAATGTAGCTGAACTCAGTGGCTATCTGTTAATGAAAAGTCAGAGGATTTAGACCTAAAATTGATTGAGTTTTTTAAAATAGAAGACCATGGGTGTATTTTTACTAGAATTTT